AGTCAGTTGACAGCCGAATGCTTTGTCTGGTTTATTTATTTATTTACTTTTTGTTAAGTTTGTGTTGACTTTCAGGTTGAGAAGTTTTAACTCTCCGATTCTGCTTCGTATTCACGGCAGCAGCTGCAGACTGCTGGAGACCTGCCGCCCGAGCGGCCGGCCGGCCAGCTGGATGAAAGAGAAAAGACATGAAGAGGCTTCTGTGAGAATAAAGCAGAGATCAAGGCRCCAGGATTCACAGGAGGAGGAAAAAATCTGAGTTTTATTGAGAAGTCTGCTGCGAGTTGTAAACCTGTGCTCTGAATTCTTAGTAACAACGACTCAGTCTTTTGTAAGAAACCACTGAAGTCAATAACAAKGCTGAGTGAGGTGACATTTACTGTTAGATTCAAAAATAAATATAAAAAGTCCTGTTCACATGAGGGATTGTAAAACAAGGAGCTGGAATTAAGACCGTGTTCTCACTAAATCCTTACTGTGAACTTAAAAAAAAAGTTAAAACCTTAATTTRAATAGAAAAAATAACCTAGAAATATTAAGCATTTAGCTTGTTTTTTTTAGGTTTTGTTATAACTTTTATTTTAACGCCAATATAAAACATTAAAGATGTGATCTCACTTTTTGTCTGTTAGCAAAATTTCACATGAACCTGCGACCTGATTCAAGATGGCCGCCACAGATAAGAGATCTTGGTTATTTAGTCACGACACAAAAAATGCTTTAAATCTGCCATTTCTAAAGATATTGAGCTAAAATTTGTTGTGGTAGTAGCTGAGAGTCATCCCTGACACTTACTCTGAGCACTGACTGATTGCATTAATTTTTAGAGTGTAAGGTGAGSGATAAGCATTCCTTCGTATTTAATCTTTATTTATATTGGAATTGATCAGTTTAGAGTTTTTRTTTAAGTTTAAAGCTAAACTTCTGCTTGTAGCTAAACTGCTGGTAAGCTCCAACAAGTTTTATATATTTATATATATTTAGTATATTTTCCAATAGGACAGATTTTCCTCAGAGCACGATTCGTTTTTGGAATCTGTCGATGTTCCTAACCTTCAGAAATCCAGTGAAAGTCTTTTTGCTTCTGGCCTGCAGCCTGATAAATGAATGCAGAGGTATGGGAATGAGGTGTTTTCAGAGCCTTATCCTTGATATTTAAACATATTCCTGCAGGAAAATTTTTACATCAAGATATTTAACTCGTGGTGAAAAACTGAAATAAAATTGAATTACTAAAATAAACTGTATTAAATCAAATATTGTACCTATTTTCCCACATTTTATTTTGGTTAAAGGTGTTTTCACTCTGATCTTTTCCTTTTGTTTACACAAATTCTCAGCTTCTCGTTTGTTTTTATTTACCTCGACGTTTTATTGTGGCAGAATAACACAGAAGAATTCACATAATACTTTAGTCTCAGAGTTTGTGAAAACCTGTTCCTTTCTTCAAGTTTTCAGTTTATTCATCATCTTTAAAAGTGTCTGACATGCATATCCTGCGAAAACAAAATGTCAAGCCTCTTTATAATTAAGAAACTCTGCCCAAAACACATGATTTTACACATTCTGTCACATAAYCGGCATATTTTATTTTTAACTGGRATCAGACAAAGTGAAACAGGAAGTGACATAAAAGAGGAACTCTCTTTTACTGCGTTTAGAAAACCCTCTGTTACTTTTAGCTTTTAGCTAGCATTTTGCTTTTATCTAATCTTTTACTTCGTTTAGCAAACCTTTTGTTACTTAATTAGTGTTTTACTCAGTTTAGCACTTAGCTAGTCTTTTGATACTTTTAGCTTCTAACTACTGGTTTGATACTTTTAGCTATCAGCTAGTGCTTCATTCTTTTAGCATTTGGAATAATATTGCCTGTTTTAGCTATCCTTTTACTGATGTGTTTAAAACCAGCCTTTTGTTACTTTTAGCTGTTTTACATCTTTTAGCTTTTAACTACTGGTTTGCTATGTTTAGCTGATGTTTTGTTTTACTTTAGCTTTCAGCTAGCCTATAGCTTCATTTTAGCTTCTTTTGTTGCGTTTAGCTGGCCTCTCGTCCATTTATTCAGTCTGATTCCACCTCACTGACAGTCCTGCACTTYTTGGTCCAACTCTGCTAAACAGTGACATAAACTCTGATCTGGGTAATAATCTAGGTTAAAATACAGGAACCATGTGGAACCATCTTTGCTCAAAGATCACGAAGTTCTGAAAGTGATGTTGTGACTTTCTCAGAGCTCCGATTTCATCATTTCAACATCAGACAATCTGCAGTTTGTTCTTAAAAACGTTCAAACGAACCAGCCTGCTAGAGTTTCAATTTGTTGCAATTTCACATTTTTGAACTTTTTTATTTAGTTCTGTAATTTTCCAAAATATTCAGAGCTACCAGCTGAAGCTGTGCTGCTGATGAGCACAACAAACAGGTAATCAGGAGATGATCACAGCTTTATTTTCTATAATAATTCAGAGGTTTTTATGAGTAACGCTTGAATTTTTCTTRGTTTTTTAGAAGTGATGATTAGCGAAGCACTAACCTGCAGAGATTAGACCTAAGACTATTAAAATGTATAAGAACTGTCAATCAAAGTGTCATGTTTCTTGATTTAATTAACTTAATAAAAAGAAACGTTGTGCATGTAGGTAAATTAGTGAGCAACAGAAAGCCTGGAGGTGTGGCCAGCCTGTGTTACTCAAGCCTTACCTGACAGATGGTGTGAAATGCCTTCAGGCTCTCGGTCTGATGAAGACAGAAGCRGATCTCATCGGGGAGGCGTTTCTTGTTTGGTGGACAACAGGTGAAGCTGTGTTTCTTCTGATCTGTGATGAGCTGGGCTTCTTAAAGCTGACAGTCTGTCTGAAGCGCCGTGTCTTAATAACGAGTCGCTCCAGGGGTGGAAACTGAAGTCTGTCTGGAGGAGTAAGAAAAGAGTTACTGGCGTGTCTGAGCTGTGCTTTAATAAACCTTCCTTTTATTTATGACCACTAGAAAACACAAATCTTGGTTGCAATTACAGACTATAAAGAGTCTGCCATGATTTTTAGGAGAAAGGACCCAGAAGCAGGTACGTAGGAGCCACATTCAGGATGAAAACTAATTACTTTCACAACAATAACATGTCCAATAATGCTTCAAATCCAGCCTTTAGGTGGTTTTAAAAGGTTTATAAAACTGGGCAGAAAAAGATTAAAAATCAGCTTTGCGTAACTTTTTTATCTGTTGTTGGACAAATGTTTCACTAATCGTGTTGCTTTTCCTCTCAAGGCATTTAAGGTTAATTTTGTTGGCTTTCTTTCAGGAATYAACAGGTTTTCATCACAGTTTTACTTCACAACAAATAAAAAAATCTAAATAAATAAGCTAAGAAACTGTAAAATTACCATTTAGACTGAAAGTTACGATAATTAATCCAAAATATTTTCTTCTAAAGACAAATTTGTGCTCATTTACGAGACATCACGACCAATAATCTGTTGTTTTGGTTCATGAAGGTCCACCGATTTAGAAGCTTTATTTATCCCCAATAACAAGCAAACTGGTGGAAAACTCTAGATGATTAATAGTTTGGTTCAAACCTGATATAACCAAGGTATAAATGTACTTTTCAATGATTTTATCATCCTTCAGACCTACTCACTAGAGTAAGATGAGATCCTTTTAATGCTAMTCAATTGACCAACTCTTACTGGAACTCACATTTTACCTTGGCTATAAATACACCACTCCAAGTAATCTTTACGCTTCAGAATACTGAGGTTTGAGAAGCTCGATGCTCTAAAAGGAGCGTAACGTTTTACATGTGAAGAAGAAATTATCACCTCGTCATTTAGAGCTTTATAGATTCAGGACGTCTCCTTTTCGTGTCCAAACTAAACAAGAAAAAGAAGCAATTTACAGCAGAAAACAACATTTTGATTGGCCTCTACCAAAAAAGAGAAATACAACTGAATTATCAGCTCGGTTACAGACAGAAAATGAGTTGTGCAGTCTTTATGTGCACAAAAGTGTTGTGTGGATTAACTTGGATTGCATTTTCGGAGGAGACGAATGATGTAATTTTGATTCATCTGCAGCTGGCAGCGGCGTCATTACAGCTCGGCAGCAACGGAGACGAGCTTCATTCAAAATGACTAAATTACCCAGAATACTGGTGAGGTGACAAAGTGAGCAAGAAAGCATGAGACAAAAAGATGTCGAACAGATTTAGTGATGGGTGTCATCAGCGAGAGCAAGAAATAAAAAGGACATTTTGGAGGAATTCCTGATAATTTCAACATCCTGATAATCATCTAAAAAAACGTTTAAAGGAGCAGCATTTAGGATGTTACAGTTTTAGATTATTGCCTCATCCTATCCTTTCCAGAAACAGAGAAACGTTTTATTTTTCCAATGCAACCAATAAATAAGCATTTTGTTTGTGCTTTTGTCATTTTACCTTCCATTTCTGCAAGATTTTAAAATCTAATAACAGTTTTATGAAAGAAAGAGTTTGTTTCCAAAGAAAATGTAAATATTAGAGCTGGGTAAAAATAATGGATTTATTGTGCATGAGACTGATTTTTCCTCGTGATGTTAACCATGAAGCAGTGGTGCGTTTATGTTTTGTGTTACTCCTGACTTAACATACGTTTACATTTGGTTGATGTTCAGAGCTAACGTTAGCTTCTGACAAAGAAACTACAGAATCACTAACATTTCCAGCAGAATCTCTGCAGGACATAAAAATAACTGAGACCATGGCAAGTTTTGTTTCCATTTAAAAATGGCACCARTGAGACTTGAGACAGTTTTGTTTGGAGGAAATCGAATCGATTTAGGGAACTGACCACAAAAGCTAACCCTATTATTTATACTAAGAGACAGACTGCATAAGAAATGTGAAAAATTATATTTTAAATTTTTTTTGCTTTCTAATTGTTTAAGGAGTGATGTTCACAAGTTCACAAGTAAAAACACTCCAAAGATTGTAGAAATGTGTAAAATACAMAGTTTTCATTGTTTGAAAGGATGGATGCTGAGGAACTCAGAAAAACCCTTCAGGAACAGAGGACATCTAAAAGTATCAAAATGTCTGTTTAAACTAAAAAAAAAAGTTCCTGGACTTCACTGRCAGACTTCTGAGGAAACAGGAGACTTTAGAAGAAAGCTGCCAAAGCAGCAGCCTGGCTGACAGAAGTATAGGGTCAGACAGAGGTACGTTATTTTTAATAATAAAAAAAGGGACCAAATATGAGACATTTTCATAAAACCTGCCAACAGAGCCGGAGTACCCGGTGAAAAAGTATTGTTTGCACTTCAAGCGGCGCAGGTGACACTTTACCTCAGCAGGATGTGCTCGCAGCTGAGACAGTTTACGCCAACGAACCCATGACTCAGCTCCGACTGCTACGAGCTGCAGGGCAGCCTGTGCAGAGCTGTGTTTGATTTAGAAAGCCTGAGAATGGAGGAACACAGAGGGGGAGTCTGTGTGTACACACAGCCAGAGGGGCTAACTGACAGGGATGCAGGCAGAGAGCTAATTGACCTGCTGCTCCACAAATGAGACCACTTGTGGAGGACTCGGAGCTGCAGTCAGATATCAGACTGGAAACAGCAGAAACAGACTAAAAAATGAACTCTGAACCTCAGATATAAACTGGATTTCTACAAGACTTAAAGCTAATTTCCAAGAAAACAGAAGCTGCATTATTAAAGCTGTCCTTTCAGCTCATCCCTACAAAACATAAAACATTCGATGTTTTAAACGACACAAACATTAATGTCGCTGAACTGAATGCACAAAGTCACAATTTTTTTTACATCTTTGATATTATTTTTATCTTAACTAGGTTGTCCAATTAAAAATGCTAACAATATAATTAATTTGAAACAGAAAACCGGAAGTCTACCTCATACCTGACAACAGGAACACCTGCTCATGTTAACAAGCAACCGTGGAGTGAAGCAGTTCTATGGGGGAAATTTTGTAAAAGATCCACTCAAAACTAAGCATTTCCCAGCCATTTGAAAAGCATTTAACTAAAATTATTGGGAAGTTATTAAACATTTTTTAGTCCCCCATTTGTGGCGTCCCCTAGATTGAAGGAGTCCTCAGTATTTGCCTGGACCTCCTATTCCATAGGCTGGTTTAAGAGCCAAAACTTTAGAGCAGAGGTCTTCAGTGATGGGGTAGGTACTGCAGAGGGGCTGCAAAATATTTTAAAGGTTTTTAAACACCTTTTTTTAAGTTAAGTCTTTAAACCCACATTACCATGTATCAAATAGATAAATTGAGGCTTAAAACTATGTATTTCATATAGAAATGCACAAATTCAGTGAAAACACCAGCTGAATTCTGTTTCACTCAGCCACACTGCAACTCCTAATATAATATAATGATAACAGTCAACTAATGTCAGTATGAAATGTATATATCTCAAACTATTTGGGGGTCCCAGACTGAAAAACATTGAAAACTCCTGCTTTAAACTAACATTATTTTATGCTTGGAAATGATGGAGAAACTTTAAACATTATACAAGATCTCAACAAAGTATGTACCCAATTTTATCTGTAAAATKGACAGAATTGTCATCATTTATTTACTTTTTAATGTTAAAATTGATTTTATTATTTGTGTTTTGAATGTCTTTGTTTACAGCATTTTGACCATCCGTGTTTTTAAAGAATAGAATAGAAGAATAGAAATATCCTTTATTGTCCCGCCATGGGGAAATTCATGTGTCACAGCAGCATCAGTACAGAGGTTCACAAGCTAGTTTACAAACTATAGACAATGCACACAAAATGAAATTACCACTAACTAGCAATGATACTACTACTAACAATAAAAATATAATTTAAGGGACTGTGCAAGAACAAAGGTGATTTATAAATAAAATTGTGTAGTATTTGTATGTTTTTTAAGGTCAGCCAAGGAAAGTATTGTTAAAATTTGACCCACGGACAATGAAGACTAAATAAATCATTAGAAACTAAAAGAAGTTTTACATTTGATTTTTATTTCTGATCATTTCTGTTAAATCACATTTCTTTAATTTCTAACTGATAAAGTTTATCTGATGAGTTTTGATTTGGTGCATTTGTGTTTAAAATGTTAAAAGTAAATTCCAACAGGTTATAAAAAATAAAAATTAGATCACCTTGAAACCTGAGAAGTGAAATGCAGATTGTCATGTCAGGTCACATACGCTGCTAACGCTGCCTGGTACACTTTGTGAATACAGAAGAGCAGCTGCTGTCGTCCAACTCAGCATCTGTTCACTGATGCTGTGGATTTATTAGATCATGATAAAAACCAGAGAACAGGGGAAATAAGAGCTGTTTGCTCCAAACTGTGAAGACAAACGTGCTCTTGTTTAATCTTTATGGTATTTTTATGATCATCTTCTAATAAACTCTATGTCCATATGAAGACAAAACAAACTACTGATGAATGTTTTGAAAAWCTAAAAAATGGGAATGTTTCAACTTGACAGAASAGATATCACWTCTTTAAWGTAGCAAARAAACAAAAGAACTTAAAGCTTCCAYTTGAACTGCACAGAGGTTTTCTGTTTTATTTCTGAGTGTATGGGTTTATTTAATCGTAGCTGCAGACTCTGAAAATTAGATTTTATCACATTCTSGAGTCAATATTTGCTGTTAGATTGTGAAGCATTATTCATAACTTACAAGTGCTCCCAGATTCCTTACATAAAACTCAGCTTAAGTTGACAGAAATTCAACTTATCATTAAAAGGTTTTTAGAGGCTGGGAGTCAGTTTTATTACTTCCAAAACAGACAAAGATAAATCTCCTGAGGAAAAAGCAGAATTGTCTCTACGAGGTTCAAGGAGAGATGGTGAGGGAAAAACAACGATTGATCTGTTGCAGCGAGGAGGAAGGAAACGACCATATCCTCCTGCTGAG